ATTAGATTTTGAGCCATTGTAGCTTTAGTTTATGTTCTAGGAAACAGTGTCTAATGATCCAAGCTTGTCGTAGGCAGTTGAGTCAAGCCTTGACCAAACCACAATTGAGTTAGTATGTAGTTTTTAAATTTCAGTATTAATGAATAGTTATCGTTTTAGTATTTGATGCATTTAGTCTTCGTTTATGTGTTGATTGTTAATTTTTAAATAACATTTTTATTCGTAAATTGACACCACAATATGGGATAATTCGCTTAACTTTAAATTTACAACTATTTAAGAATCATACAGAACTTCACTCTATATTTATATATCTCATATCATGTTCTTATAAAAACTCACACTTTGTACACTTTATACTTTACAAAGATGAGAGTTTGTTAGGAGTTTCTTATCTTGAAAACTTGAGACATATAATGAAGATGCAAAAAAATCCTGGTGAGTTTGATCCAATCTTTTTTTGAGGGTTATTTACATTTACTCAATAAAAAATGATTTTAATCAACTAATTTTCTTGAACAATCTCATTATTTTGTTTTGTTCAATGCTAATATTATAGATGATTGTTTGACTTTGAATTATTTGCATGAGAGGTGTGTTTGTCAAAAACTCTTGAGATATAATTTTAGATCATCTTTGCTATTATTTGAGTCTTAGCCTTATTCTTTAAATATTATTCTCCCTAAAAGTTTTGATTGAGCACTTTTTAAGAAAAAAAAATATTTTTTTCATTTATTATGCCACATGTATATTAGCTGATCCTAAATCAGGTTACAATATTATGTATGTAAAAGGGAGAGTGATGGTTTAAAAATATTATGAGAAAGGTGAAAAGGTTTGCATACTTATGATTATCTTCATTTGATGGTTTGCTGACTTAAAAAAAAAAGAAGAGAGAGTACATGTTTTAGTTATTTGTTGAAAAAAAAAATCAAGTTGAAAAGAAAGAAATAATATGTCTAGCATTGAAAAAGAAAAGAATGAGCAAGTATTGTGAATTGTGTTTCTAGAGGGTGATGAGTGAAAGGTTATCAAAAGAAATTTAGTTGTGTAATGTATTGTTCTCTCAGAATAATATTTGAACTCCTAAATACCTTTCATTTTAAAACCCTAATCCCAAAGTCTCATTACAACCTTAGATAAAGACATATTTGTTCTCAANAACACTTAAAATGAATGTATTTAACACTTATTAATTATGTCCGTTTGATAACCAAAATTTAAACTCTTTTAATATGTTAAGTGTTTCTTAAAATATAGGCTACAATATTAAATAAAAGATTTCTTACTTAATTCTAAAAGTTAAAAACGCTCATCAAAATTATTTTTAATAATATTTACAATATGACAATTATATCCNATTGTTTCAATAAGAACATGTGAGTATTATTTCGTTTTGATTTAAATATTTTTTTTTCACATGTGCAACTAGAGGGTATAGTCACTTTAATCTGAGAGAATTTTTAATGAGTGTATTATCTGATAAGATTTGACATTAAGACGAATAGTTAATAGTTGTAGGAGTGATTTTTAGATGAATTGCTAACTTGATATAGTTACTTGACACTACACACGAGTTTATATAAGAATATGATAAGTACATGAATTTTTTTATATAGCATTGAGTTCTATATTTTATTTTGCATGTGCTTATAAAAAGTTTGTAGTTTAGAATTTTCATATTGTGATAGCAATTTGTAATAAGAAATTGTTATTCAGGTATTTGATAACAGGTTAATGTTTCTGGGTATTATCTCTAGAAACCCTAATGAAACTATACTCATCCACAAGTGAGAATTTATAGAAGTTTAAAGAATAATTATATATGCTAAATGCAATCATGAGTTCTATGAAAGTGAACGTATATTTGGTTTATTTTGTTTGTCTTACTAGGGACTAGCAAAAGGTGGACTGGGGGTGTGATTAGCAATGAATATTGCATTATTACTTTAGTTATAATTGGCTAATTACATTGGACAAGGCATTAATTATGTTAAATTGATTTAATTTTTGGATTTTATTTTGTTTTGTAGTGTTTGTCTGTTTGTGCTGGTAGATTGGATTAGTTAAAGGTTTGATAGACAAATGCATGAAACCGGAAAAGATTCAAACCAGATAGAGGGAAAAAAAGAGGTCATTACCTCATGCGATCAATTGAGTCCGGACGGTGTTAACAATACATGAGTGATAAAGGATAAAGATATGCATCCGGACCGAGAAGCAAAGGGCATTTGGACGGAACTTCCAAAGAATGCATGAGAAAGACACTGTCAAGTGCATCTGGATGTTACAAAACACGCTTTCGAATGCAATAGACAAAAAGGAACGTCTGGACGCGATGACGAAGTTCAGCTAATAATCTTAGAACACAAATTCAACACTTAAAATGAATGTATTTAACACTTATTAATTATGTCCGTTTGATAACCAAAATTTAAACTCTTTTAATATGTTAAGTGTTTCTTAAAATATAGGCTACAATATTAAATAAAAGATTTCTTACTTAATTCTAAAAGTTAAAAACGCTCATCAAAATTATTTTTAATAATATTTACAATATGACAATTATATCCCGAAATATTTTATAATCCTATTAAAATTCTAATTAATTTTCTCTTCAAAACCCTTAACCTATATATTCTTCTTGTCGATCTCTTTTTTTTTTTTATCCCTTTCTCTTATTTTCTGTAACAAAAATATACATACATAATTATAATTACACACACAAACGCACGCACTGCACACACACAATTATACACAGACATGTGCACTACACACACATAGTTACACACATGGATTGCACATACACACACACACACACACGGCACACACACATATTTTTAATGAAATCTATTTTATTGTATTTTTTCAATATTATTTGNTCTTCTCTTCAAAACCCTTAACCTATATATTCTTTTTGTCGATCTCTTTTTTTTTATCCCTTTCTCTTATCTTCTGTAACAAAAATATACATACATAATTATAATTACACACACAAACGCACGCACTGCACACACACAATTATACACAGACATGTGCACNTGGGTATTATCTCTAGAAACCCTAATGAAACTATACTCATCCACAAGTGAGAATTTATAGAAGTTTAAAGAATAATTATATATGCTAAATGCAATCATGAGTTCTATGAAAGTGAACGTATATTTGGTTTATTTTGTTTGTNTGATTATTTATTAGTTATTGTTCTCTTTTTTATCAAATGCTATTGTTCACTTATTATTTTATTCAATTTATTATTACTCAATTATTGAGTTATTTAGATGTTATTTATTTATTTATTTTGATTAAATATTTGTTCAATGTGGACTACAATATAATAATAGTGATTAGGATTATGTTATGACATATTTTACAAATATTTTCAAATTAAAGAGTGGAAGAGTAAAACTAAAAATTTAATTTATTTTCAGATGTCAACTCTGTGTAGTTATCAAACAGTTTAGTTCAATTCAATATTTAAATTCTTGTGGATACCAAATAGTCTACAAATTCAACATTCAGCTTTCACTTTTCACACTATAATTTTCAGTTTTATTAAACACCACCATAATTTAGGTCTTTTACTCCCCATGCCTATATATATTGATGTACACCCTTTGGGAGGATCATTATGCTCTTAACCCCTCCTTGATAGCTTTTTTCTATTTTTCTTATAGATTGGTAATTTCCCAACTAAAGATATGGGACANTTTTGTGGATACCAAATAGTCTACAAATTCAACATTCAGCTTTCACTTTTCACACTATAGTTTTCAGTTTTATTAAACACCACCATAATTTAGGTCTTTTACTCCCCATGCCTATATATATTGATGTACACCCTTTGGGAGGATCATTCTGCTCTTAACCCCTCCTTGATAGCTTTTTTCTATTTTTCTTATAGATTGGTAATTTCCCAACTAAAGATATGGGACATACTTTTAATAAAGAATGATATAGTATTTTCATCCAATGTTTTTAATGTATGATTNTCTGCTCTTAACCCCTCCTTGATAGCTTTTTTCTATTTTTCTTATAGATTGGTAATTTCCCAACTAAAGATATGGGAGATACTTTTAATAAAGAATGATATAGTATTTTCATCCAATGTTTTTAATGTATGATTTATTCTTTTAATTTAATTCTTGTCTTTTTAATAAATTTTTTATTCTGTATAATTTTTTGATTCGTTATGCCACATGTGTTGAAGGCTTGAGAGTCTCTACGAGTTAAATACCTAGTTTTGCATGCACAAATTAATTAAATAGAATTTCCATAATCTAGTTCATTTATTTTTTGCAATAAAATTAGGGTTTGTTTGTTGGACAATCTGACTTATTGTAGACTCTGGGCACGCGGCAAATGCTTGTGATCAACGGGTATNCGCAAATTAATTAAATAGAATTTCCATAATCTAGTTCATTTATTTTTTGCAATAAAATTAGGGTTTGTTTGTTGGAAAATCTGACTTATTGTAGACTCTGGGCACGCGGCAAATGCTTGTGATCAACGGGTATATTCTTAGATTTATTCAGATAAATTATTAATTATACTTTTGGATATTTTCAATATTATCACCGCTAAATATTTTGATTGAGATCATTCCATAACTAATTCTTAATTGAGTTTGACAACCAAATCATTAACAATTATCGTGTGGAATTGAAAGGATATACCGACACGTTAGTATTCTCAAATATTGTTTTAGAACGAATTCTACTATTTTTCTAAATTCAACTCTTTCAAACAACTCTCGAAGCAATTTTATTTTACTTTTTCTTTGCATTCCAAGTTTAAACAATTCACTAAGATACGAACTTGAATTTCAGAGAAAATTTATTATTTCGCACAAGCTATGCTTGGGCTTTACTAACAATGTGTACAATAGTTACACATATGACTGAAAATGTACTTTAGTTTCTAAAAGAACAAAATGAAAATAATATCAAAAGTTGATCCTGCTGTAGCCTACAATAGAATGATCCTGCTGTAGGCTCTTTCTAGCAATGTGGTAGATCGAGGGGAGGCGGAGGCAGCGTAGATGACGGTGTTCCACCATTCTCAACGACAAAGGCGGTGGCGAGACCCAATGGCAAGTGCACGTCAAAGTGGCAATGCATCAACCATACACCTGCAAGGGCCACAGTTCCATGAACAAAAATTAGTATATGCAATTGGACTTAGTCATCAAAGGAATATATATGGCATGGTTCGGCATAGATATTGTATTATTTTGTAGACTTTTGTTTTTTTCTTTCTGAAATTACAAGTTTTAAGCAAATATAAAACTTTAAAAAAAGAACTTAGAAATGTATGGTTACCTGCTCTTAAAGTTAGGAGATAAAAGAAATATAATCTGAATAAACATTCACCTGGATTGTTGGCCCGAAATCTGACAACAGCCCACCCTCCGACCGGCACGCCTATGGTGTTCCGCTCTTGTGGATTGAAAAGATTAAATTTTTTCCTATCGTTGACAGGATCAAAGTTGCCAAACCCTTGAGCCAACACATGGAAGTTGAATCCATGCAGGTGTATAGGGTGATTTTCCATACCAACCAAAGNTCTTTCCTATCGTTGACAGGATCAAAGTTGCCAAACCCTTGAGCCAGCACATGGAAGTTGAATCCATGCAGGTGTATAGGGTGATTTTCCATACCAACCAAAGCTGTGTTCTGCAGCACAATCTCAACCGTTGAATTAAACTTGACTTTCTTAACTTTTGTTGACTTTGTTGTCATCAAAAGGGATTGATTTAAGCTGTTTTTTGAGTTGGTGTAGTCAAACTTCAACGGTGGTTGGTCTGGAAGATCAGTGGTGTAGATTCCGTCAACGTTGTTGGAAAAAGCTTGTAACATTGACAACTTGGTGGGGAACTGGAAGGATGCATTGTTCATGCTCGCAGCGAACCTTTGCCCATTTGGGCCTCCACAAGTGGCATTTGCTGCACATGCAGCCATGCCCAGGCCCATAGTGATAAACATGGGTTCATCCACTTTCAGTGGTACTGGGGTCCAGAAAGGTGAAGTAACAAGCCCAGTTAGATTGCTGAAGAACTTGTGGGCAGTGGGTGTGTCATTGAAGGCTGGTAGCACCGGCATTATGGAGGCTGATGAGGTGGCGCCGTCGTAGACAATGATTCCAGTGGTTGTCGTGTTATCAAACTGTGCTACTCCACCTGTGCTGTCGTAGGAACGTGCTGCCATGTAGTAATATGCTGGTGGCTGATCGGCGATCAATAGGACATCGGTGGTCTGGCCGGGGGAGACGACGATGACGTCAGTGACATAAGGGTTTGTGTAGCAGGCGTCAACGGCGACAACAATCATATTGTGTTTGGCTATCTTGAAGAACAAGTGGTTATTGAGTGCAGCGTTGACAATACGTAGAAGATAGGTTTTTCCTTGTACCACCTTCAACTTGAATGTGTCTGAAAGAACACCCACCCACACACACACATTTGATCATTTGTTAATGTAAATGAAACACCACAAAAACTGAAAGTGAAGGTTTTAGTTGTAAAGTAATGTGGATTGGTGTTGCTTACGTTTTGAAGAACAACGGTAGAGATCACCGGGCTGGCCATTAATGGTGAAAGCATCAGAGACGTTAGGAGGAACACCACTAGCTAATGCTTGGTTTGCCACATCAACAACGTTAGCGTTCCACCACTCTCCTGCAATCACATTTTTTATAGATTTATTTAGATTGCACGTGAAACTTTTTGACTCATAGTTTATCTTCCAATTTTATTTTTTATATATATTTTTAAAAATAATCAAATAAATACATCCATTAAATATATTATTGAATAAAGTATTGTAATGAACTATATAATTCTCTTCTGTACATAGCGTAACCCTAAAGTAATTTTACTTGGAAATAAGTATCTCATTCCTAGTAATGAGATATCCGAGTTTCAATTAGAATAGTAATCTCATATTTAGTATTTGATTATTGTCTGCAATCTAGTGTGAAAAATAATATCATTGTCAACTTNTGAGATATCCGAGTTTCAATTAGTATAGTAATCTCATATTTAGTATTTGATTATTGTCTGCAATGTAGTGTGAAAAATAATATCATTGTCAACTTGTTTTAGAAAAAAAACTAATTTTAGGAGGAGAACTTAATTTTTGAAATGAAATTAATTTTAGAAAGGAATTTTATTTTGAGATTTTTATTCATTCTATAGCATACCCAATCAATGTAGGTAATTGATTACCCCTATTGACCATGGGTGGGTTTAGGATATCCACCACTATTAAGAATTGGATTACAGAAACGATAATAATCTTATTCCCGAGTTAAATTACTGAATAATTGACTATTCAAACATAATAATCTAGAATTTAAGAATAGAAATCTCATCTCCAATCAAAATTATTGCCACCTAAACGAGGCGTTAAAGTTGTTGGAGACACTACTTTCTCATGAAACTCTATCTTCTAGAATTTAGAACTTTTCTCATGAACTAAATAGTTTGAATTAATTTTATTTGCAATATTGTCATAATAGGTAAAGTACACTACAAGGTATGTGATATATATAAATAAAAAGAATCACAAAGACTTGTTAAACTATAAATAAAAAGAAATGAATGATTTGAATTTGTTAACAGTATCATATAAGTATTAATTTGAATTTTATGTTACATACCATATTATCTTTATGCAATGTTATATGGAAAATTATAGATTGACAATCAACCCAAAAAAATAAAATGAAGTTTACGGTTTGGATATGTAATATATTAATGAAGTTGGTGTTCAAATAAATTCCATATTGAAAAGGTTAGCATTGTTTTTATCATTTATTTTAAGGATAAAGTAGTCCAACAAAAAGTTCTGTTATGTCAAATAATATGTTGAATAAGGTTTTGTATGGTCTTTATGCTTTGTTTTAAGGATAAAAGAGTTAAAACAAAAGTTTTTTTTTTTTTTTTGATAAGGTGCTTTTATTATTAAGTATAGAATATCAATATACATACAAATTTGATGGTTTCTATTTGCTCATTGTGTTTGTTTTTGTTTTTTGTGTTAATGTATTTAACTTTGTTTTCTTTGTCTTTTTGGGGTGGGGCGGGTATGGATATGGACATTAATTGAGCCGAAATTTTCAACCTTGACTATGCTTAGATTCTTACATGGGATGGACTTAGATGTTTATGAGAGTTCAAGTTGAATTTGAGCTCAATTTTTCAACAAATATTTCTAAAAATTAATGATTAATATTGAAATAATTGATTTTCAACAAAAATTCTCAAAATCTGTATCAACTATAAAATGGATGTTTTGTTTTTTTTTTTTTTTGACTTTTGAGGGGAACCCAATCTTTGTAAGGTTCCAACCTTTGATACTTGTGTAAGTTTGTTTTGATCAATATATTCTTTTACTTTCCGAAAAAAATTATAAAACAATTCTTAAAAAGTTAAAATTTTCCAAAAAGTCAAATAGCCAAAAGGGGGAAAAAAAAAGTCGATATGGTCTTAAACCCTATGAGAACAAGTTCTGTAGTTGTTCATACTTGGAATTGGAGTTGTATAGCAATACAATTGGAATTATTTATGTATTGGAATCTTTTCAAGTACTCTACCCTACCACGTTGTTGAATTTTTGATTATTTCCAAAATAAGTTGGAAAGGTGAACATTTTTTTATAATTTCAACAAGAATAAATGAGCCTAACTCGAACTACTTAGAGTTGTCTAACATCCTAATCGAATGGGGAAACAAGAAAGGATGCTAATTAAAAATTTTAAACAATCTACACATTTTAAATATTACTTAAAAGAAAATAGAGAATAGACCTTTTTTTTATTTGTCCTCAATACTTATTGCACACGTTTCTCTTCATAAATAAAAAAATCCATTCTTTGACCTTGTATTGCAATCAATAACTATGAAGCGTGAAAGAAAACAATGAAGCGTGAAAGAAAAGAAAGAGCACAGGGTCAGAGAGGACTTTGTACCTAGAACAATTGGGACCTCCTTGTAGGGTTTTGGGAATGGATATGAACGACCAGCTCTTGGCCTTATAATAAGTGCCCCATAAACTGTTGCTCTAAGCCATTGTACGTGTGCATGCCACCAGAGAGTCCCTTCCTGTCTGGTGATGGTGAACTTGTAGGTATAGCTATGTCCAGGCCGGATCGGACACTGTGTCGCATATTCCGGTCCATCGGCCCAGCCACTTAGTAACTGGAATACGCCATGCCTGCATAGGTGAAATAAGACCTGAATACTTGCTTTTGATACATATATTGATAATTTCATCATATAAACTTTTCGTTTGTGTGTTTAATTACATTGATAATGATAGTTCTAATTACATATTGGTAGTTGAATTAATAATCATAGAACTTATTTGTCTGATTATGTAATGATTTGACTGCCAAACAGCAAATCAGATTTTGGACAAATTGAATATACGAAGGAATATATTACGTGTTCTAATTGTCATGAGAAGAAAAGTCGAATCAAATCCTTGAACATTCGACACAAAACGACTCATTCTAAATTCTAAATATAGAATTACCAATCCGAGTGAAACGGAAAAGTCATATAGTGGCAAAGTTATTACAATTTAAGAACCAATGTTTTCGATGTGGTCATTAGTTTGGAAGTTTGGATTGTGAGTTTTTTCTGAAAACAGCTGGAGTATTGATGAAAGAAAAATGACCTGTTCTAGAAGCAAAGTTATTACAATTTAAGAACCAATGTTTTCGATACATTGCTTAGTTTTGATGTAAAGGATTTACCAGTGAATAGTAAGGTTATATGGTGACAAATTATAGACATGAATGACAAGGGTGTCACCCTCTTGAACATTTATTGTTGGCCCCGGAAGCATTCCATTTACTGCAGTGATCACTCGCTCTTGGCACAGCCGCTGGATGGTCAGGTTTTGCACCTGAGAGATTGGAATTTGAAAGTTAATAACAGCAAATCTTCAATTTCAAAAACAAATTTAAGTCGGGTTTTTAGGCAAAATAGTGTTAAAAGTGCATGCATGCATCTCTTGACCTGTGCATTTCTAGAAAATGGCCCATCTATAAGTGTGGGAATTATGTTAAGGTGAACAGATAATTAATATTCGAAACGAAAGGGTATTAAACGATTCTTAAGCTGAAGAAAATCAGCAAAAATTAAACCAAGAAGCAAATGACAAGGAAGCTGAAATTCCCGGGAATGCTAAATTATGTTACGTTTCGAAGTCGAAATATGAGAACACTCATCTTGAGTAGGCTTACCATTTAGACGCTTTCAATAGTTATCCACTTTGTACTTGGCTACCTAGTGTTTATAATGGGCACAATAACTGNTCTGTTACGATTCGAAGTCGAAATATGAGAGCACTCATCTTGAGTAGGCTTACCATTTAGACGCTTTCAATAGTTATCCACTTTGTANTATGTTACGTTTCGAAGTCGAAATATGAGAACACTCATCTTGAGTAGGCTTACCATTTAGACGCTTTCAATAGTTATCCACTTTGTACTTGGCTACCTAGTGTTTATAATGGGCACAATAACTGGTAAACAAGAGGTGCATCATTCCGGATCTTCTCGTACTAGGGAAAGATCCTCTTGATACTCTAACGTCCACATAGGATATGGATCGACCTGTCTCGCGACATTCAAAACCCAAATCACGTACTATTTTAATGGGAGAACAACCCAATCCTTAGAAAATACTACAGCCTTAGATGACAAAAAACCGACATCGAGGTGCCAATTGTAATAATCAGAAAGTGGCCCCTAAATCCTACCTTTTGGTTCCACCTAAATTGTACCACCATTACACTCATTCATTTAAATTAGTTATCCTCAAGAAAACGCAGAAAATCAAGAACCAGAAAAATGGAAAAGAAAATTAAAACGTGTAAGAGATATTACATAGAATGACTGCTCAACAATTTCTGCAGAAGCAAGTGTTGAAGCCAGGAGAGCTAAAGCGCATGCCAGCAAGTACACGGGACGTGCCATGCCGAATACAGGAAGCTATAAGCGGATGAAGAAATGAAGCCAGAAACTCTACTTGTTCTTTAGAATTTGCATTTCACAAGTCTATTTATATATAACTCGTAGCTTCAGGAGCCTTAGGTTTTTTTTTTTTTTAACAAGAGCCTTTAGTCTTTCCCCCTATTGCATAGTTTAAAGTCAATGATTGATACATACTATTGGTACTTTCGTTGTCCAACAGCTTGAGTTGCCATGAAGAAACTGAATAAAACTAAAGCGAAAGTCGTAGAATCCTGGTTGTTGGAGCAANTAACAAGAGCCTTTAGTCTTTCCCCCTATTGCATAGTTTAAAGTCAATGATTGATACATACTAATGGTACTTTCGTTGTCCAACAGCTTGAGTTGCCATGAAGAAACTGAATAAAACTAAAGCGAAAGTCGTAGAATCCTGGTTGTTGGAGCAAATTTAGTCCCTTTAAAATTGGTGATTTTGACTACCGCCAATTTCTGGTTTCTTGTCTATATGAATAAGGCAAATGGACTTGTTTCTGCTTCAGAAGTAGTTGAGATTTGCTTACTGCCTGTTGAAGCAATCGAATTTTAATTGGACAGTAATATTTTTCATACATTGACAAGGACTAAACTTTTTTTTTTTTTTTGTGCTAATGGAGGTTTTTGTGGAAAGTAGGAAGTTTTCACTCTTAAAAAATTAACTTAAAATTGTGACTTAATGACGTGGATGTTATATTTGTCATTAATTTAACTGTGGATTTTAATTGAGACTCACTATCTATTTAATATTAGTGATTTATCAAATCAAGTTTTTAAATCTATTTAACATTTTCCAAAGGAGTTTAGAATGGTTACAATTTTATTCTTGTAGAGAAGACACAATGATCACTAATAGTCCGTTTGATAGAGTAGATGGAAAAAATAATAAGATGAAAAATAAAAGTGATATATTTTCTATCTTTCAAGGGAGGAATCATTCATTTTATTTTATGTGTTTGGAAAGAAGGATGAAAAGTATAAAAAAATTAATTTTTTTTGCAGAATAATGTTATTTGGACCTAAAAATCTAACCTANTCAACCCACGATTGGAAAAAATATTCATTGTAATAGTGATACTTGGTGAGCATTGATGACATCGTATTACCAACCAATAATTTATAAACAAATAATAAAACAGACACCAAACAAGCTAATCACTACATGTCCATGAAAGCCAATAGCTACCAACTTTTTTTTTTTATGTAAGTCAATAACGACTCAAGTGAGCGTCATTTTGTCTATTTGGAGTTCTATTATTAGTTAGTGATATCATGTCATCGATACTAATATAATATCAGCGTNAGTTTGATAAGCTTAACAGTCAATCCAAAGGTCATAGTAAATCATGTCAACAAATAATGTCAAATTTTCATTTCTAAATAGCGTTACTCTTTTTTTGTATTTGGTAAGATAGAAAAAGTATTTTGTTTTTTAAATTAATGTTTTATTTTTTAAAAAAATATAAATATATATTTTATTATTATATCTATATATAAAATTAATGTATATATAATATGTAATTGATAAATATGATATATGTATATATTAAAGAATATATAGATAAACATATATTAAAACGCATATAATTAAATTTCCATCCATTTGCTCTCTCAATTTTTGAGAGATTGATTTTGATGAGTTGAAAAAAAAATTAATTCATCAACTTTTCTATTCTTCTTATTTTTCTTCATTATCAAACATAATATTTTATCAATTTTTTCAACTTTTCACCCCCTCATTTATTTACCCTTCCAAACACGTACTACCCAAGACATATGACTAGTCTCGATTAAACGGGAGAACCAATGGTACTGTAGGAGCAGACAAACTGATATCAATCCATTAGGACAGTATAGTTGATTGTTAAGAATATTACAGGTGAGCTTTCCATCCTTCAATGTCCGCGCCTTTGCCCCTAATCTGTACAACGTTGTTCTTGTCTTTCTTTTTCAATACAAACCCCATTAAACTTAAGGTGCAACGTCTTTCTTCTTTGATACAAACTCCATTAACTATAGGTGCCAAAGCTAACTGTTTTATGATCAATCTAGAATGTTTGACATTTCAAATGATTGCTCTCTATGACATTCTAATTAGGCAGGTGGAATAGGAAAAACATTGGATGTAACGGTGATACCACATCATTAATGTTATGTGATGTCAATAACCAGTGAGAGAATACAAAATAGACTTAATGAGTTTCACTGTTTTAATAACTGTCAATAATCACCTTTGTCATGTTAGAATGGAGTTCACCAATTTTATTTATTATTTTATAATTGATTGGTGACACCATGTAGCATTGTTGACATAGTGTCACCGTTACACCCATTATTTACTCGTGGAATTAACCCACGATTGGAAAAAATATTCATTGTAATAGTGATACTTGGTTAGCATTGATGACATCGTATTACCAACCAATAATATATAAACAAATAATAAAACAGACACCAAACAAGCTAATCACTACATGTCTATGAAAGCCAATAGCTACCAACTTTTTTTTTATGTAAGTCAATAACGACTCAAGTGAGCGTCATTTTGTCTATTTTGAGTTCTATTATTAGTTAGTGATATCATGTCATCGATACTAATATAATATCAGCGTTGTGATGAATATTTTTTTCCCAAGATTGATTCTGATAGTTTCGGCATTTCTAAATTGACTGGGAGTTGGAAATCAGTTGCTATTAAGACCCTCCTGACTATTCAACAAATCTCAACTTCCTTCTTCCCCCACCCCCACCCCCAAGAAAAGGAAAAAAATAATTTTGTCTTGAAATAAAAAGCAACCCAACCGTACACACAAAGAAAAATTTACTCTGGAAGAAAGAACAAATAAAAGAATAGATAACACCTAGAAGTTCTCGTCAAAATCTCATTCCAAACAATAAGAAATAGAGAGAGAAGACTGAAGCTGGCAAGATGTCCTATCATATTCACCCCCCAGTTGTTGAATCGAAGGCCCTGGAAAAAACCACAAATCAATTAGGCTTAATCAATTCAAATGAAAAAAATGATCAAGCTAGCTTGTTGCAACACACTTTCTCGTGATGTTTATCTGACGATTGGATTGTTTATAGTTTGGTGAAATAATTTGTAGGTTTTTAAAATTCCCAAGCTCTAGTTTCCTAGTCTATTGTGCTCACCGGTAATTCTTATAGATATATGTAGGCATATGTTTATGGGGGGAGAGAGAGAGATTTATATTCTTATGGAAACGTTTTTGATTTGTCTTGTTGGTGGTTATGGGTTAGGAAAATGTTTACGCATGCTTTATTTGGTATAATGGAAAAATTATAAGGTGAAAAAGTTAGAGAAATAGATAAAATATTATCCTTGATAAAAAAGAAAAATATGAAAAATGACAAAGTAGATGGATTAACTTTCTTTATAATTCACAAAAATCAATCCCTCCAAATTTATGTGTCTTAAAATGTATATTATCTATAATATAAAAATGACAAGTTTTAATAAGTTCATCCAACGATCTCAAATAGACTTATTCAACAATCACCAATATCCGTCTCAAAATCATTCACATTGTACCGTACCTTTAGGTACGGGTTACCTCTAATCTATATAATAAAATATAAGACAATTCAAATCTCAAGAGAAAAACAAAATGACTTCTTTTTTTTTTTTTNCATTGTACCGTACCTTTAGGTACGGGTTACCTCTAATCTATATAATAAAATATAAGACAATTCAAATCTCAAGAGATAAACAAAATGATTTTTTTTTTTGCAGCTGAAATCATTTTAAATTTTAATTTAAAGTTAATCTGATGATTAATATTAATTCTTCAAATTTAAGAGGGAAAAATAGGTCTGCTAAAACTGTGTTTGGAGTGGCCTTTCAAAGTACCCAAAAAAAACAAAATCACGTTTACAATAGAATATTCAGAAATCCAATTATTCTCCCATTATGTTACATATAAATACCGGTCATAATCCGTGCATGAAAACATGATAAAAAATCTAATCTGATTCTCTAAAAAATCGATCTCATTATATTAAATAATATTTTTTAATTACATAATTTGAAATTAATTTCTATCTATTATTTTTTATAACAATCGACAAATTTCTTTCAAAAACAGTAAAGTGTATTTACTATTGTATATGAACATTGTCTGAAATAAAAATTGAGATACAAATTAACCAAAAATTAAATAATTTCATAGAAACTAGTTATAGCATATGCCTGAAAGCACAAAGTAATAAAAAATTATAAACAATAAATATATTTGTAGGAGACGATGATAATTGTGGTGGGTGGCAATGACCGTGGTGCGGCAGCTGCGGTGGTGGTGGTGGGGGTGGGGGTGG